GAAACTGTTAAAGATAGCTATAGGAACATGTATTGTCAAAATATGCCCATTTCGGTTCTTTATCTCATGCAATATTAAGAAAATGGTGATTCCATTTAAAAAAACTGAGTTTTTAGTCTTTGAAGTTTCATAAATTTGGATCTCCATAGGGGCGGTCTTACGCAACTTAACTTTTTTTGAAGTACACTAAAAGAAAGCTGTATTCATTCTATATGCACTGATAAAAATAGGTTGCCATGACTACAACCATTTTCAAGTAATCAATTATCAAGGTACCATCTGCATCCGCCATTTTTTTTCTTAAAGTCAAAATAACTTAAAAACCATAAATGGCAGATATCGACATATGGGTATCCAAAGAACTGAAATTTCACGTAGAATCCAAAAACCTAATAAAAAATTGGGGTTGCTATTTAAAATAACGAAGCTACTATCTACTTCCGGTGTTTCCGGAAGTGCGGCAATTTTGAAAATATTTTACATCGATTCGGCCTTCAGCGTAACTCCTAAGTACAAATTTTCAAAAACCTACCTATTTTACTTTCCCAGAAACGTTTAACTAAAGCTCCCAAAAAAACACCCTGTATACATAAGAGTCAGGAAAGTAGCACATTAGTGGAGAGAATATGTTGAATTTAATTGCGACTAAAGTAGTGTCATTTTTCTGACGAGCTACGAGTTTTGAATTCAATTTTACACGAAATCGTCCTTTTCATATAAAATTTCAATTTTCATATAGAACTTTTGATTATCAATGTGTCAGTTATTAGACAAACAGCAAGACATGCAAAATGGCAGAAAAAGGGGTCTGGTAAAGTGACAGCCGTCAGGTAAAGTGTTACTGCCACTGTCATGGACTTATCATAAACTTCATGATTTATTCTCAGAAACGAAACGTTGCATTAAAAATCTCTCAACGCTGCCTTGTAGAGCTTAAAAAGTGGCAATAAGAACGTGTTTTTTTATTTTTCTGTATTTGCTCAAATAACAGAAAAAAATAAAAACAAAATCGACAAATTTCGGTTGTTCAGGCATATCTTCGAAAGTAATCGGAATTTTTTGGTTTTCTTTATAGTGTTATAATAGCTAGAATTGCGCAACTTTTCCCTAATTTAACCAACGTCGTATCTTCTATAGTTTCAGAGGTAAAATCCTTAATAATTTCTCCTTGTACACATCCGGCATCTGCTATAAGAAAAACCCTAATAGTGATTTCAACTTTCTCAATTTGAGAGACACGATTGTTATTTTTTCCGAAACAGACCAAATCCCTTCAAGAAAGAAAAGCTTACAAAGTCTGTTTGAACAGATTACGCCGCACCCAGACGGTCGATAATTAAAAATTTAAAAAAACTTGCTACTTACAGTTTTTCCTCTAATAATCCAAATAATCTAGTCGTAAAAGCTTTGCAATATTCAGGCGCATTTAAACTTCACATCTTCTTTGATAAACTGTAAATGATTTGAACTAACTTGATAAATAAAATGAAAAATATTTAGTGGCTGCTCTGACGGTAGAAACTTTTAACTTTTAATGCAAGAGCACGCTTTTAGAAAGGTTTTACTAAGGTGCCAACCGCTTTGTTTATTCAGATTCGTACTAACAGACCGATTTAAAAACTTTCCACAAACTTTTACTACTTTGTTTGACGATAAGTTCAATCTGTTTATTAAGATTGCTTAACTTCTTCGGCACACATGATCTCGAAACAGACGGACTGAGTTGCTGAACGCCTGAGATTTAGCGCAAACAAAAGTTACACGCGCTTTAACCGTCGCGGAACTCACAGCCAGCAGCAGAACCGCTTTTACGTTGATTCCAGTGTTTAAGGAAACACCACGTCCACTATAAAATAGTCTCCTTCTTCAGGATTTTCAAAAACACCGCTAATCACAATTGGACTTGATAACGGCAGCGTCGGAGGAACGCGTCCTCACTTACGTCGAAAAAATGCACACAACGTAAAACATCCTATCTGTTAATTATCTCTTAACAGCTATAAAACACGTGCGCAAAGAGGTAATAATTACATAAAAAGCATCAATCTAGATATTCTATATCAAAGTTAATAGGATTAATGGGTTAAGTGTGAGAACACCTGGTGGTGATGTGTACGTATTTCTCGTTAAGCCTTGAAGACAACACGAAATTAGCAATAAAATGGTTTTCATGGTATTAAATGTTCAATTGGTGCCAGGCAGTGGTCTAATCTATCACGAATTGCTTAAAAAAATGAATTTCTTCTACAGGGGTGATAACATGTTACGTCATTGAAGTGAGCCTAATGAAAAGTACAATGCTATTTAAAAAAATTCAATTGTTTTATGTTACTCATTTGTTTTCTGAAATAAAACAACTGAACGCTGACTTTTACCGGGAAATAAAATATTAAATATCTACTGTATTCTATACATAATGGGCGCCTTGTATATTGTCATGAACTTCACATTACGATACACAAATAAACAGGTATAAAAAACCTCTTATTTTCCAGAATTCCTTACATTACCTCAACATTGCCAATTAACTGTTCATATTTCCTTATACGTCCTCATATTTCCCTAGATAATCTGTATCAAATGCGAGTTTTGCAAATAACGGGTGATCAAATACGAAGTAGTTTTTCCAATAGGGATTTTAAAATACTTTACATTTATGTGTTTTTCGTTCATTATTAGTCGACATTTCACCATGAATACACTTACCTACATCATAATAACTTTTACAAATCGTGAAAATTGATTACCAAAATCAGTGTTCAGTGAGAAATGTTTTTCGTGCTCTTCGACCATTTTGTGCTGTTCATAATCGTCCAACTGAACGCACCATTCGTGAAACAATCAATAAATTTTTAACAACTTTTTCATTATTGGATGTTCATCACCCGACCAGAGTGCGTAGAGGTCCAACTGCTGTTAATATTGCTGCTGTAGCTGAAACTGTACATGAAGACAGGAATCGATCAATTCGCCGTCGTGCTCGAGGTTTAGGTCTCTCGTATGGCACATTGTGGAGTATTTTGAGGAAAGATTTTGGTTTTAAGGCATATAAAAAACAGCAGACAGCAATTGATGCCGCTTGACCTTAGTTTGCGTCACCGATTTGGTTTATGGGCTTTGGAATGATCCGTTTTTTATCGCTATTTTTTGATGAATGGATACGTAAACAAACAAAATTGTCATATTTGAACTGATAAACAACCAGAAATGACTCACGAACTTCCAATACATCTTGAAAAATGTGCTGTTTGGTGCGGTATGTAGGCAGGCGGCATTATTGGACCGTATTTCTTTAAAAATGAGGAAGGACAGCGTGTTAACGTCAATGGTACAGAGCAATGATCGATGAATTTTTGTTGCCAAAAAATCAAAATATTGGTGTAGCCGACTTATGGTTTCAACAAGATGGTGCGACGTGCCATACAGCACACGAAACCATCGATTTATTGATAGAAATTTTTGATGAGAACATCATATATATATATCAAGAAATGGACCAGTGAATTGGCCATCAAGATCATGTGATCTAACGCCGTTAGATTAGTTTTTATGGGGTTATCTCAAGGCACTTGTTTATGCCGATAAACCACAAACTATTCCTGCATTAGAAGCGAACATAACATGCGTAATTAATGAAATTTCGGCCGAAATGCTTGTGCTTGAAAATTGGACCCATAGAATGGACCATAGAGTCGGTCACGGTCAACATTTAAAACAAATTACTTTTAAATATTAAATGTCATGAACCGAACTTACGTATCAAATACAATTTTTGAGTATTAGATTGAATTTAATGCGTTTTATTTAAAAAAAAACTTTCGGAAGCTCTTATTTGATCATCCTTTATAATATGAACCGCATGGGTTTGGTTGAGTCTTGTACAGGATGTTACACAGACGATGAGACGGCATACTTTGGGAATGTGTTGCTCTAGTCTAACTGAGAAGATCCATGTTGGATGTATTCTGACCACGCCAGACTTGGCTACGTTTAGAGCCGCCTCCCTTTACAGCATCCTTGGGTTCATCTCATGTTTGGGATGGTTTACGTGACGTTGAGGGGTCGACGACTGTAGTCAGGGCCCCAATTTAAGGCCTAGATACGCGTGGACCCTCTTATCGCAATCCAAAAAAACCGAAACACATTGTCAATTTCGAGAATTTTTTTAACAAACGTACCGAAGTCAGCCGTAGCCTACCGATATATCGGTAGGCTACGAGTCAGCTGGGGAGGATTAAAAAATATAAACCACATACAAAAATGGTATAGAACCGAAACTTTCCCAACTAGTTCAACAATATTCCGAAGGTAAACTTAGGACGTGGAAACTTTCAGTTTGTGAAATCGAAATTCAGGATCATTAAACTCGGCGACAAAGATCTCACACGATCACTCCAATTACACAAAAATTGAAATTCCACATTTCGGACATCAGATCCAATCGCATCAGTAGTATGTAATTTTTTTTCTAATAAGAACTAACCTACATTCTGTTCCGTAGCAAAAAATGTTCATTTCCATTCACGTATTTTTACGATACGTTATTCAAGTACAAACTTCCATACCAGAGACGTACCTATCCAATTAGTGTCTGTATAAAAATGCGACCTCGAATTCTATCCTATAGAAACTGCTGTAACTCTAGATCTTTTTTCGAAGCGTAAAAGCTTTGATAGGCCTCTTATTTTAGGACGCAACGCTGTCTGCTCCAATATTTATTCATAGACGTTTGCCGCAACAGATCTGATCGTGTACTATAATTTTGGCACGCTATCCAAACTCGAAATGAATCATCTACAATATATTCTATGAAGATGCTGATTTATGCGTCACCAGGTGCATAACATTTATAACAGTAATTGTTCGCATTTTTCAGTCTGCTTTTACCGCACTTAATTAGACGAATCATACTTCGTGGCGCTTTCTGTTTAAATCATGGATTAATGGTAGACTAGTGTTCTGTATATTTTTACAAATTTTGATCTGCATTTTTGTTGCAGGTGTGTGCCAAGGTCTTCGGAAACGCCTCTGCACTTGCCAAACACAAACTGACTCATAGTGACGAACGAAAGTACGTATGTACGATGTGTGGAAAGGCATTCAAACGTCAGGACCATTTGTGAGTAATTCCTAATTTTACGCATTGGATTACCAAATTTCTTTAGAAATGGACACATGCTGACCCATCGAAACAAAAAGCCTTACGAGTGCAAAGCGGAGGGATGCGGAAAATCGTACTGCGACGCAAGATCGTTACGAAGGCATACCGAAAATCATCACAGCTCTTCAACGGTTAGCACAAACACTACCACAATGTCACCAGCTCAAGGGGCAGCTTCTGGTGACGCCGCATCCCCACACGGTTCTAGTTGTATTCAATATGCACCACCACCTCCCTCAACATCAACGGGAAAAAGCCAACTTCAACAATTGCTGGCCACAGAACCGGCTAAGGTAACTACTCTCATGCACCAAACCCGTGGGAAAATATGGAACAGCATTCGCCTTCTCCAAAGGAGTTATTTGGTTAAATTCAAATTTACCATTCTTAAAGTACCACTTGGGCGCAGTCACGCGTTCACGAATTTTACTGAAGTAGGTTTCCATCTTTTTATATTCTCAGGGCGGGGCTTTTGACGTTCACAAACAAATTTTTAACATCACATCAAAACAGAAGTATTAGTACTCAATATACGTAAACACTTTTAACGTTTTCAATTGAGAGGCAGTTGATCCTTTTTTCGTTTGCATGTTCTTGACGTATGTAATTTATAATCAGCCCAATATTGATTTAACATCCCCCGTGTTATTCTTTGTAATTTAAAAACATTCTTTTAGTCCTTATAGACTCTCTGGGAAACGGTAAATTAACCTCACCGTTCTCATATTTATGAAACAATTTAATTTTTATCAAAATTTCTATACCAGCATCCCAGCCTTTGTTTGTATTGAACAATGAAAGAGAGGTGTTCGTTTTGTATTAAATGAATAGTTGTTTTTTAACGAGAGATTCAAATCCGACATAAAAGGGATTGTTGTACACAATAGGTTCACACAATGTTTCACATGAAATTGGAGAGGGTGCGTAGGTATATATGTAGATACGGCAGAGTAATTTAGAACGTTGTATCAATACATTTTCAATAGCACGTATTTTTTGCACAAAGCAACAAAATGTTTCAACCGCATCATTATATTGGAGCAATATTGCAGCAATATTGCTCTATTTTGAAAAGCAAATTATTTTCCTATCTGTTGATTACGAGCATAAGTGTGCTAGGGTCTCTTAAAGCTCGGTGCATATGAGCTGCAAATTAATCGAGACCCCGAGACTGTTTTCTATCGATATAGTTAAAGAGGTTGGGAGTAACGAGGCAGGGTATCCAATATTGCTAGCCCCATTACTCCCGTCTTTCTGACCATATTGACTGAAAACAATGTCGGTGTCCCCATTACCTTGTAGCTCATGTTGTGCACCGGACCTAATTTAGGTATTTGGACCGAACTCCAGGGAGATGAGAAAACACTAAAGAAGGTCTGGCGGATCCGAGAATCGGCTAAGCACATTTTTGCTGTGGCAGATCAGTAAATGCTCGAACTAGAGAATGCCCAAATAATGGTCAAAATACACCCTCTCTTGTTAGCAAAAATGCGATAAAAAGTTTATGTGAACTATACTATACAGGGTGTTACATGTAAGTATGTAAAAAAAATTGGGTGGTAGAGGGGATCCAAACAAGCACTTTTTCAAAGAAGTGGTGAAATTTCGACGAAATTTGGTATAGGGGGGTTTTTGAACATGAAAATCACGAATCTGAAATTAGTTTTTTTCGAAAATTCGAAGTGGTGAAATCATGGAAACAATTGAACATTGGGTTGGGAAATATTCAACAATATAACATTTTTTATACACAGCGCGCTATATATTTTTAGATATATTTTGAAAGAAAATGAAAATGTCTTAAGTTTTTATGCTATTTTCATATTCAGTTAGTCTCGCATACGGCTACATAAGAATACAGGAATAAGTGAAGGTGCAGATTCTGATATTGCACTATCTGAACTTAGGGTCAGTTTTTCAGTTAACCTTGCCTGAACACGCGAGCAATATAATGCTATGGCCCAACGTCGGGCGTCAAATAAATAATGATGTGTGCAATGGCATGCGGTCACACTCACAAAACACATCTGCCTAGCATTACCTACTAAAACTTCTAATCATGAATTTCCCAAAACACACTCGGCTCTCGCTATCAAGAAGAATCCTAATAATGACTTCGAATTACTTAATTTAGGAGGAGGAGGACTCAGTAGCATCGATCAACTTTCGAAAATTCCAAAAGAATCAAATACTCAAATTTTGTTTAACTTGACCACAAATAGAACAATGTGAACATGAAAATTCTATCTGGGTCGTACAATGGATTCAAATAAACACACAATCAATTGATGGACAATGACAATAAAAAAAAAATTCACAGATTTCGCAATCCTTGCAGCCATCGGAGACATTGGAAATGATAACCGTATAACCTATAAAGCCATAAATAACCCTTATTCACGCGGAATAATCTTCTCGCAAGCTCGCTCGTATCGCAAACGTAGACTTTCTGAATAATAAGCGGCGTAACATGCTTGAATACGATCACGAGCGATGTGCGAGGATTTTAAATTCAAATTACCAAAACCCCTGCGCACTGTTATGTAAGTACCGTATTGACAGTATCCCCGACCTGTCCTGAATCTACCGATTGCAGTCGAGTACGGTACTCGGTACAATCAACACTAGACGCGACACCACTGTCTTTTTCTACTCGGAAAACCTGGTAAATTCATATCCATATAAAACAAGCATTTCCAATGCTAAAACACATTCGCAGAAAATCATCAAGAAAAACCTGAAATAAAGAGGGACACAAGCTCGTTCTTACATTTACCTCACACGCGGGTGTACAATCTCTCTAATTTCCTTTCTGTTACACTGAACTCAATCACGCGAGGTAGTTTGTTGAATTAAAGGATAACATATCTTTCTTATAACTGTTCAAACGAGAAACTTTAAACTGTTGTTAATACGATAACGTTCTAAAACGGTTTCGTTATGCACTACAACTGCTTTTCCAAAATCAACGTAACTTTCTTCCGTAAACGAACAAACCGCATTAAACCACCCACATGACTTTAATTCAACTATATATGCACAGATTCTCTTCCCCTTCCTTCCAATAATCCATTAAACTCCTACTTCCGCTAATTTCAATTGTACCGCCCATATGGAACGCGTGAGATGTCTTCTTTTCCATAACAAAATTACGGGCAAAATATCGTGCCCCTGCGTCCTTTGTTACCAGCGCCAAACACACGTGCGTCTTAAAATAATTAACTTTCGCGATAATGCCGTCCGTATCGCACTCGACCAGAAATTCTTTAATTTTAAACAACGCAATTTTCACATCTTACACTTTAAATAAACAAATGTACTCGAATGATAAAATTAAGAAATTATGCACTTAAACACAATTCTAAAATGGAAAAATAGACACTTAAATAATAAATTCAGATGAAAGAAACCAATTCTGTGCTTATTGGTAATGAAATCCCACAGATTTAAATTAAATTAAAACATTCGCATATACAGGAAGACTCGTTTATTATTTCAGCCTGACGTTTACACAACAACAAATATATTTGTCTTCAAAGACATCAACTGTCAAATAAATTTTACTGTAAGGTGGAAACTTATCGTACTTTGTTTAACTTGTACCTCACTTAGCTAGTACAATTATTTCACGTTGACCTGTATAATGCGTGACTAATTTATTGGCATATCATTATTTTTCAAATTTACAAAAAAATGGCGTTCATTTCAAATTTTGGAAGTTTTGTGCTATTCGATTTCCAAAACTTGAAATAATCGCCATTTCGGTGTTGTAAATTTGTTGTAAAAGAGTTGTAGATGTTACACTGTTGATTCCAAAAAATTTGGATTTTTTGAAATCCGACTAGAATAATGGGGATATGGAGATTTCTAAAATAACCAAAAAAAGGTCCATAATTCGGAAACAAACACCAAAATGAATAAAATTTATTTTAAAAAAGTGTTAGTTTTGGCGAGTTTTATAACCCCTATTGCGTTGTGTAGAAACACTCTGTATATAGGAACATGTAATATCAAAATATGCCTATATTGATTCTCTATCAAATGCAATAATAAGAAAATGGTCATTTCATTTAACAAACTGAGTTTTTAGTTTTGAAATTTCTTAAATTCGGATCTCCATATAAAAGCGGTCTTACGCAACTTAAACATTTTTTAACTACACTAAAGGAAAGCCCTATTCTTTCTCTATGTAGTAGTAAAAGTGGGTTGCCATAATTACAACCGTTTTCAAGTAATCAATTTTCAACGTACCGTCTGCATCCACCATTTTTTTTGTGAACGTCAAAATAACTTAAAAACCATAAATTGTAGACATCGACATGTGGTATCAAAAGAACTGCCAGTTGAAATAACGAAGTTACTATCTACTTCCGCGGTGTTTCCGGAAGTGGCACAATTTTGAAAATATTTTACATGGATTCATCCTTTAAAGTAACTCCTAAGTGCAATTTTTCAAAAACCTACCTATTTTCTTTTCCCAGAAACGTTTAACTAAAAGCTCCCGAAAAAAACACCCTATACTGTAGTATTTGTACATGTTAATAAAACAAGTATTGATAGGTTACGATACTAGAAGAACGATTACAATTGTTGCATTTGATGAATTTGTGGAAAAATTAAGAAATTTAACCCATAGGGACTCGTGAAAAACGCAAAATACGTCTGGTTGCTTTGACTAATGCGCGTTGGTTGACGGCAGCCATAAGCAAAGCAATAGGTAATGTAGGTACGCGTTGACTACCCCCGCCAAGCTGCTAATACGGTACTAGCATTTAGTAATTAATTCACTCAACGGTACTAGCCTTATGGACAAACCATAACAGCGTAGTATATACACCCTTCCACTGACTGTAAATCAAGTCAATCTCACAAAATGCTAAAGTATCAAGCGAAAGTAAAATTCCTAACAATCAGAGTGTGTAGCCTAAAGGTGAAACCCGTGTTGAAACTGAAACAAGATAAGAAAGCTTCCTCAAGCTTGTGGAAATCAAAGATTCCTTCCATCCCAAATGGTTTTTCGTAGTGTATACGCAAGTTCACAACAAAAAATATTGAATCGCCAACCAATTACAAGCATATACCATTTTTTTTTCGAAATGAATGTACAGATTATCAATTATGTTTTTTGCCGTTTCCGCAAATTCTCTTGCAATTAGGTTATTCGTGTTCTTTGCGATTTCAACCAACAAACGTAACTACAAACGTCGACGTCGGTATGGGATCCCTTTATTATTCAATTATTGATCAGAGACAATTAAAATCTAAGCAGGGAAAAGTTAAAAAGATGTCTAAAAGTAATGGCACATCGGATTACCAATAAGAGATTATATTAATTATTTCACCGACTGAACGCAAAGTGCAGATGAATTATAAACAAACAGTCAGAACAGTTTGCAAGTCGAAGTAGATAAAATAGTTTGTGTAGCTGATTTTACTGAAACTCGAAAGTTTAATTACACTTCATATTTACATTGGCGAATCTATTTCCGCAAGTCATAGATTGAAGAACGTCGAAGAATTATTTACCTTAACCGATGGAGCGACGTTGACAGATATTACGTATATTAATTATTTAGGCCATTTTACACGTACCGCACAACCATTTCTCCAATTTATAACTTTGTCAACCTGGACATTATTATAGGGATAAACTTTGCGGTTCCGGCTAACTTAACATTATTTCCTAAGTATTACAAATGGCCGTCTGCAGTTGTGATTTAAAGCTGGGTATATTTTCCTTCGCGGTAAAAAATTAGATTTCCGAGAAGGAAGATATATTTCGCGAATCAGTTGCGTTGTTGCAATCGACTAATCGATGATATCTTTTTAGAGTGGCAACGGAGGAAACAACGATGGGTTGACCAAGCAGCAATTAGATTTAATTCATCAAATTATGGAGCAAACACAAAGACAATCACATACAGTTACAAAACCAGCAGCAAAACCGGCATCCAAACCAACGAGTAAGGCGCCAAACAAATTGCAAAAGGTGTGGACGTCGCAGGTTTGTCATTATTTGATACCATTTTTCCGTATATGAGATTATTTGAGGAAAGTCGATATCTGTTTTTTTCGGTTCTAACGATAAAAATGACAATACTTCGATGGCATCATTAATCTGAAATGTAAATTTTCAAAAATTTTCTTGCACCTCCTCGCCCTGTAGATACGTGCTACCCCGGGTCGTTTGACAAACAAACGCCTTTCTACATTGCTCACAGCTTTCATGGAATTAATAAATACAAATATTTTTGCTCCCTCTCACCGTTCCTACTTGCCCACTCAAGATGTAATGCCCCATTACAGCCCTGCACAGGATGCTTTCATTCCCATAGTCTCCTTTCATTTTTGTGTAAATTTGGTTTATTCTCGATTTAGTGTGGTAACTTTTGGTAAATCAGCATGTATGAACATGCATTTTTTTCAGAATGACGAGCTCTTTCAAAATATAAAATAAAAAATGCAAGTCCGTCCGTCGGTCGTGCCCTCGTGTAGGAGGGAGTTGCAATGAGAAAGTGTCATTTGTCTCACAAATTTCTTCAAATAAGTAGACATATATCACTCTTGCATAAAATAAATTTTGTTCTTTCAGTAACTAGTCACAATTTTACTGTAACAAATAATTTTTGTTACCTTTCGGAAAGTTGATTCTTTAATTCCCCTTATAATCTGAAAACCAAAACCCGATGCTCTGGTTTGATCACTCTCAAATAAATACTCATGTAAAATGACTTGTTTGAATATGTTGGTGAAAATAAAATCGTTCGAAATCCCACTTTTCTTTACATTGTTCGTGATTTAAAATATTGGTGTAATTCATTCAACAATTATAAAATAACATTTCAAGCTCAACTCGTGATCACGTTCCAAATCTAATTATTTATCTATGTTTTTTACTATTTATAATTACACCAACACCGGGTACATTTTCCTATTCAACAATTTACACACATCTGGATGCTAAATAAAATTTAACACACACAAAGGAATTATATCAATGGACTTAAGAATTAATTTCACAATTAATGGCAACAAAATGATCAAATTTATCATTCATAAAGAACAAACAAATTTGTTCACGAAATAAACTTCCTTGGGTCGACTTCTTCAGGAATGTTAAATTGATTTTGAGCATAAATTTCTATCCAAATTCCCCAAAACGATCGCCTCCTGTTTTTACACAATGCAAAAATTTCAAATTTTTCTAATATACAGTTGATTTTGTCCTTTTGAAGGGTTTTGAAAGATGATTGCTAGCAAAAGTACTAATTAATCGCCTTTAAACCTTTTACCAGTTTCCCTTTAATCTAGTATCTCATTGTCACTTGTTTTCTTTATTGTAACTAATAACCACTTCAAGTATAAACGCAAGGAAATGTCCTGTACTTTGACTTTTAGTTGAAAATGTTACGCTTCGGCTACCTTTGAACTGGTAATAGTGTGGCGTTTTGAAACTTATCTGCTTGTTCACTTGCTGCTTATCTGGAAGTACTTCATTCTATGGCATTTTAGTTCCGTTCTCTTTCACTATACAGCGGTACACGTATACAATTTTCCTATACTTGTAAATTTGTAAATTGAAAAGCAAATCTGTTACAAATCACATACTCTCCCATGAATCTCATTTTTTTATAATTGCACGTATTATTTAAAATTGTTCCTTTGCTATATATTCTTCTTGGACCTCCACAGCTGTCTCATTTCCACCACTCTCTTTTCCTTAATTGTCTTATTTGCGCATTTGCCCCATTGTTTCTATTTTTTCCTACCTCTATTTCCATCCTATCTCCCTTTTCCTTCCACCTCCCTTCCCAAATCTCATCATCTTCGACTTCTAACTCCATTCCTTTCCTTTTCCAATACGTTTCCATTTTTCCCATTTCCGCCCTCTTTTTCCAATGCCTTTCTCGCCAATCTGAGTAATACATGTATGCAGTCGATCGTTCTCCTCCCATTTCTGGAGCCCATTTGTGTTTCCTCCAGCATTCTCTTCTCTTTCTAGTCTTTCGTTCAGTAGCATTACATCGATTTTATGCGCAGTAGTCATTATAGTAATTTCCCCCACAATCTTTGCTTCCTCTTTTGAAGACCGGATCAACTATCCCCTCCTTCCATTCATCCCCCTTTTTTCGATACCTTGTTTATAGATTTCTCATCCGTTCCTTGAGCCCATTGGTGGAGAAAATCCAAGCTTCATTATCTATCTCGTTTCTCTCTGTCGCCTTCCCTTTCTTTAGTCTTTTTAATTGGCGCTTCCATCTCCTCTCTTGTTATCTCATCTCCTTCAACCTCCTCTCTTCTTACCTTGCTTATGAACAAAATATACATATACAAAATATATCTTGTTTTTCTACCAAATTGTTTTGAATATTTACCTCTGCGACTATTCGGGTCAATAACGAAATGTCAATAAATACAATTCGTGTAATTGTGGTTAAATAAACCACTTTTGCGTTAGGGTAAATTGTTTTATTGAAATGTTATAAAATTAAAGGACCGATTCATTAAAATAAGACCAAATACAATTTTGCGACAGATCACCAATATCAATTAAAACAAAAATAGTTACAGAAAAGTTTCGTCATAAGTTTTTTTTTATGTTCAAATTCCCGAACAGGGAATACGGTTTCAAAATGCGAAACACATAAAAACTTGGACTATAATAAAACAGCGACCATTCCCTGTAAACTTTTTAGTAGAACGTTTTTTACGAGTTTGTAATTACTTCGCCTTGTAATTAATCACTTGAATTTGAACATCACTAAACTAATTGGAAAGCAAAGTAACAACCGCAGGGTTGTTAGTGGTAGTTATGCTTGCGACAAATTAATTCCACAGGCCGAGCAAAAATGTAGATACGCAGCTTAAATTCCCCAATTAGTGAAATTGCGAATAAAACGGAATGTGATTAAATGAACAATATTTCCCTTAAATTGATAACCCGAATGTAGAATTTACAGGTAACGACTCCGCGCTAAATCTCCCGCTCTTTATTTCTTGCTCTGAACCCTTAGTCTACACGATTTTATTAATAAGGAAAAGGAACATTAACGCAGCAACAAAAACTGGACCACGCTCATTATTCATCGCCGCATTCAAAACTGAAGACAAACAGCCGCATCTGTAATTCGTGTTACCCTCATAGTATGAGCGATCTAAAGACGAAATTATAGCCATTGATCCTCATCACAGCGCTCACAAATCTCGCAATCGTATTTTATTCGTATAGAATAGCCACGCACTGATAGAATTTTCTGATCCGCTCGGAATTGGAATCTGTAATCCTATTCACGATTAAATCCAACCTTTATAATGCGTTTATCCAAAAAATAAACAAATTTGAAAGCTGCAGAAACGAATGTATGTTTGAAAACAAAGAAATATAGAGTTTGTTAAACGAAGCAAGATCATCCACACGGGGATTACATTTTTTACGGGACCTTAATTAAAATTGAAGCAAATAACAAAGTACAAATTGGTTTCGTCGATTGAGCGCCGTCTAGCTCATAATGATAGACATGGGAATGTGTACAGACAACGGCAAGCCGCGTATGAAGTTGGTTTATGGCTTACAACTGCGTCATAAGCTTGATTGTTCGTTGGGAAAAAGAAAAAACCATACGAGTGGTGCATTTCCATTTTTAGAAAATGCCCTAAAACAATCATGTTTAGTTTACTTTTACCTCCGCAGAATATTTGTATGAAGTGTTCGAATACAATGAGGTAACAAAGAAGTGAGATTTGAAGAGACAAACTTCAATGGTACACTAAAAGTTCTGCATTGAAAAAACCTCAACAGTGTTAGCAGGGTTACTACAGCAAAACCTTCCATGAAAATGTATCATGATGCTGCAATAAATATTAGGATTCGGGTATTTTCGGATAATTATTGTTAAATATCAAAACAAAACACGTTCTTTTGTATTTAGTTAAAATGGCAACACCTAGCATCTGTATAAGCATAGTATTAAGCTATACTATTTTCAGTGGTATATGTAGTGATGTGGATTGTAAAATAACGATTTGTAAGTTACATCAAAAACTGTTATATTACGCCTAACTTACAAGAGGTCGGCTTTTTTATGTAATTTATGCCTTTTATGAAATTTACGTAACTTACGTTTTTTATTTAAAAAACCGTCATTTTTGTAAAGTTACATAAATGTAATACCCATTTGATACATTTTGATCGGTACTACCATAGACCAACAACAGTACTACCAACGTAAACGATTAACCGTTGCATCTAGTTTGGTGTAATGAAGATGCTACAGCATCTAATTCGCGATCTGGAACTTCTTCTTCCAAAAGACGCGTGATGGCGAAATACCTCCTGTTTGGGTATTTTATTTAATACACCAAAATATATAATTTAACAAGTGTTTTTGTTTTCAAACACTCACAAAATTCAAAAAGGTTTATTGAATATTTAAAAAAAACATAAACTACGGGTAATTTTACTGTAAAATTACCGTTTAAAAAAAATGGTAAGTTACATAAATTACATAAAATACCATAAAAAAAATATAAACAATTGGTAATTTTACACGTAATATTACGCACGCACAAAAAACGTGTAATTTCACATCACTAGGTATATGTGTCTCAAGTAGCGTGCACTTGTCTTGTACATTAAGAGAAGCTATATGTAACGTTTTCTAAATTTTGCTTTATTAAATCTTTTCTAAACAAGTTCATTTGTTTAAACTCCGGTGTTGTTAAGATCAATAGGTTATAGGCCCAGAACGTCAGTAGTACGCGTATACGGAGTTCAAAATCAGTTTTTTAGAACGTTTTTGGTAGGCCGTTAAGCGACCACGCATGTAAAGAAGAACTTCAAGACACAAATCGAAAAGTTGGAGGGATCGCCCAACTGGTCGAAATGGAAGAGGCAAATCGAGCTGGTGGTCAGCGGGTAGATGGAGTTATTTTTCAGCGACCAAGTGATTTATCAGAGATTGCGTCTCACATCGCACGACTACGGAAGAACTTTCAGGAGCTCAA